GCCCTTGCCCACTGAGGGGCTCTCTCTGGTGGGTACACAAGCCCTTCAGCAATGAATATAAAAGCAAACAAAACTCTTCAAAAAAATCCACCCTGATGACACTATCTCATCTACTCTACTGATCATTATGTACTTTGCTTTATGTTCCAATTAGACTTATCCTTTTCTGAAAATGTACTTTACATACCCTGTCTGTCTCCCCTTCTACAATGTAAGTCCCAAGAAGACAGAAGTTAAGTCTTGTTCACTACTGTTTCTCCAGATTTAGAACACTGAAAGAAAGTGCTCAATAGGTATTTGGGAAAAAAAAATAATTATAATGTGAGATCAAAATAAAAACAGGTTATGGGGGGCCAGCAAGTGGCACGGTGGTCAAGGCACTGGGCTCCCACATGGTCAACAGTGGTTTGAGTTCTGGAGCTGGTGGTTTGATTTCTCACTTCCCCTTACTCTCTCTCTTACTCTGGTCAAATTAAAAATAATAATAATAATAATTTAAAAATTAAATAAAAAAATAATTCTTAAAAAAAAAGGGGGTGCTGAGCCTGTCTGCACTAAAGGAATAGTATCAGGGTTGGGGAGACAGCTGTTACAAAGTTTGACCACAGGGGTCAGCAGATGCCATGGTGGTTAGGGCACTGGACTCCCACATGGCTGACCACAGTTTGAGTCTTGGACCTGATGGCTTGTTTTCTCACTTTCTCTCTCTCTTTCTCTCTTTCTCTCTCTCTCTCTCCCTCCCTCTCCCTCCCCCTCTCCCTCCCTAACTATAACAAGTTAAAAAAAATAAAGCAAATAAGTCTTAAAAAAAAAGAAGAAGAGGAAGAATGATAGTTGAGGGGTGGTACACAATTTTTAGTTCATATTTTTAGGCATGTTTTGGTATATATGAACCAAAGCTATGTACCCAATTATCACGTCCAGATAACTAAAGGAACTCACGTGTAAAGAACTAAAGGGATGTATGAGGACGATGCTTTCCCAAATAGAAGAGAGCACTATGGAGACGGGAATCATACGTAAACAAATAGAAATTCTGGATTTCAAAAGTACAATAATTTCAATAAAAAATTCACGAGAAAGGATCAGTAACATATTTGAGAAAGCAAACGTAAAGAATAGCCTCCTAAATGTAATAGACAATGTCAATCTATGCTTCCAAGAAGCTCAACTAACTCCCCATGGGATGAAGTCTAAGAGAGCCTCGCCTAGACGTACCATCACCGTCCTATTCACAGCCAAAGACAATAAGGTGAAAGAAGCAATCCGTCAAGTACACAGAACCCTCAGAAAGACTGACGTCAGACCATCCTTTTTTAAAAAATCAATTTTCATTTTATTTCACATTTAAATCTCATTACTAACCTATGGGATATGACTT